GCTGAGCTGGGCTGAGCTGGGCTGAGCTGGGCTGGGGTGGGCTGGGCTAAAATAGGCTGAACTGGGCTGGGCTGATCTGGGCTGAGTTAAGGTCAGCTAGGCTGAGGTGAGCTGGACTGAGCTGAACTGGGCTGAGCTGGACTGCGATGTGCTGGGATGGGCTGAGCTGAACTGGGCAGAGCTGGGCTGAACTGGGCTAAACAGAGCTGAGCTGGGCTGAAATGGGCTGAGCTGGGCTGAGCTGAGCTGACTTGGGCTGAGCTGGGCTGAGGTGGGCTGAGCTAGACTGGGCTGACCTGGGCTGAAGTGGGCTGAGCTGGGCTGAGCTGAGGTGGGCTGACCTGGGCTGAGCTGGGCTGACATGGGCTGAGCTGGTCTGACCTGGACTAAGCTGGGCTAGAATAAGCTGAACAGGGCTGGGCTGATCTAGGCTGAGCTAGGGTCAGGTAGGCTGAGCTCAGCTGAGCTGGACTGGGCTGAGCTGGGCTGAGCTGGGCTGAGCTGGGCTGTACTGGGCTGAACTGGGCTGAGCTGGGCTAAACAGGGCTGAGCTGGGCTGGAATAGGCTGGGCTGGGCTAGGCTGAACTGGGCTGAGCAGAGCTGAGCTGGGCTGAGCTGAACTAGGCTGAGCTGGGCTGTAGTGGGTTGAGGTGATCTAGGCTAAACAGGGCTGGGTTGAAGTGGGTTGATGTGGGTTGAGGTGAGCTGGGCTATACAGGCTGAGCTAGGCTGGGCTAAATTGCCTTCAGTTAGTTGGTTTGGCCTGGCTGAATCGGGCTCCCTGAGTCATGAAGTGTGTTGTAGGCCCAGTGGTTGGGGTCATGGGAATAATGTGATTGCAACTGACCAGGTGGGACGAGGCTGGCTGGCAGTCTGAGCTGAGCTGAGCTGAATGAACTTGGTTGTTTTGTGGACTGAACTCAGATGAGTTGTCTTGCTTGAAATGGGATATCCTGGGCTGACCTGGGCCAGGCTGGACCAAGGTGGGTTCCTTGACCTTAGCTGTTCTGAATTGGGCCGAGCTAGTGAGGCTGGGTGTGGAGCTGGTTTGTGTGAGCGGTGCCACCCCGAGGCCCAGGGACTGGTTCCCCTGGACAGGGTGGCAGAGGGGAGCTGAGGGCAGGGCCAGCACAAGCTGGGGTCTGGGCTCCAAGGCCGAGGGGGCACAGGTGGGCACGCATTCCAGGTCACCGACTGGGGGAGGACTGCTCTGGGGTCCTCTCCTCTATGAACAGGGCCGCTGGTCAGGCCCCCTGGAAGCTCTGCAGGGACAGGAGAGAACCAGACAGGCCTGGCTGGTCAGGAGAGGGGGGTCACACACCCCTACTCCCCAAGAACCCCACATCCTTGCCCCTCAGGGCTGAGGGCAGGGAGTCCTGGCCGAGGCTAAGGGCAGCCACTGCTTCTGACGGGCACAGCGGCTCCTCAGAGGGTGCTTCCAGCAGAATCAGGGAATAAGGACAGAGGCTGGAGGAGGGATGCCAGAGCCCCCTCCATCTCTGCCCCACGTGTCTCCTTCTCAGACCCCCTCCCAGGGGGCTGGGAGCAGGATGCCCCGGGTCAGCAGTGGGCCCAGCCTGTGATGGGATGACTGACACTGGCCCATCCCCACAGCCTCCAGCCGGGACCTGTCCGTGTTCCCCTTGACCTCCTGCTGTAAAGCCATGGACAGTACCACCTTGGTGACGTTGGGCTGCCTGGTCACGGGCTACCTCCCGAAGCCGGTGACTGTGACCTGGGACACAGGGTCCCTAAACAAGAGCATCGCCACCCTCCCCCCCACCTTCGACCAGACCTCCGGCCTCCACAGCGCCGTCAGCCAGGTGACTGCCTGGGGCGAGTGGGCCAAACAGAAGTTCACCTGCAGCGTGGCTCACACCGAGTCCCCCGCCATCAACAAGACCTTCAGAGGTGAGCCGGGGTGGGCCGCCCACACGACCCTGGAGGGAGGAGGGACGGGCCGGGCGGGAGCGGTGGGTGAGCTCACATGCCGTCATGCCTGGTAATGCCCGGGCACGCGGAGCACGCGGGGCCCAGGCCGGCGGGCGAATTCCGTGGGCTCGGGGAGGCCAACGCCACGCTGCCCCTCCACCCCTAGCATGTGCCATGAACTTCGCACCGCCCATGGTGAAGCTCTTCCACTCCTCCTGCAACCCTCTCGGCGACACCCACACCACCATCCAGCTCCTGTGCCTCATCTCTGGCTACGTCCCAGGGGACATGGAGGTCATCTGGCTGGTGGATGGGCAGAAGGCCACAAACATATTCCCACACACCGCGCCCGGCACACGGGAGGGCAACGTGACCTCTACCCACAGTGAGCTCAACATCACCCAGGGCGAGTGGGTTTCCCAAAAAACCTACACCTGCCGGGTCACCTATCAAGGCTTCATCTTTGAGGATAACGCTCGCAAGTGCACAGGTATGGCCCCCCACCCCCGCTGACCCCCGGACACTCAGGGCTCAGAGAGGAGGGCCCGGCATGCCCTCACGCAGCCCCTCCCACCCCCACAGAGTCCGACCCCCGAGGCGTGAGCAGCTACCTAAGCCCGCCCAGCCCCCTTGACCTGTATGTCCACAAGTCGCCCAAGATCACCTGCCTGGTGGTGGACCTGGCCAGCACGAAGGACATGAGCCTGATCTGGACCCGGGAGAGCGGGGAACCCCTGCACCCAGATCAGTGGGAGGCAAAGACCCAGTTCAACGGGACAGTCAGCGTCACGTCCAACCTGCCAGTGAGCACGGAGGACTGGATTGAGGGCGAGACCTACCATTGCAAGGTGACCCACCCAGACCTGCCCAAGGACATCGTGCGCTCCATTGCCAAGACCCCCGGTGAGCCACAGGCCCAGGGGAGGGGGCGGGCCTCCTGCGCGGGAGCCTGGGCTTACCCCACGCTTGCCCACAGGCAAGCGTGCGCCCCCGGACGTCTACGTGTTCCTGCCCCCAGAGGAGGACACGGGGACCAAGGACAGGGTCACTCTCACGTGCCTGATCCAGAACTTCTTCCCCGCGGACATCTCGGTGCAATGGCTTCGAAATGACAGCCCCATCCAGACAGACCAGCATGCCACCACATGGCCCCACAAGGTCACCGGCTCCAGGCCCGCCTTCTTCGTCTTCAGCCGCCTAGAGGTTAGCCGGGCAGACTGGGAGGATCAGAACAAATTCACCTGCCAGGTGGTGCATGAGGCGCTGCCCGACTCTAGGATCCTCAAGAAAACGGTGTCCAAGACCCCCGGTAAATGATGCCCCTCCCCCACCAGCTCCCCCGGGCCCCTCCTGCTGCGGCAGGGCAGGGGCTGGTCAGACCGTCCGTCCATCGTTATCAATAAACACTCCGGTGTCTGCTCAGAGCCCTGGGCACTCCCGTTCTTGGGGGCGGGCAGGGTTGCAAGCAGGGAGGTCTTGGCACAGAGGAGGGGGCCCCCAGGAGAGGGGACAGGAGGGGTGCAGCAGGGCCGAGGCTCTGCCCACTGTGGCCATCCAAGTCACAGGGCCTTCCCTGCCACCCCACATGGGTCATGCCCGCTCAAAGAAGTCTGAAGAGCCGGGGAGGGGGGCAGTACCCGGGGAGGAACCACAGACACCGCAGCGACCCCGCGGGCCCTCCCTCTCCTGAAGGCCCAGAGGCCTCAGCCTCCAACCTCCCCCCTGCCCCGTCTCCTGCCAGCCCTCTGGACACAGACAAGTCCTTACTGCCGGGTCCAGCAGCACACACAGGCCCTCTGAGCACAGAGATGGGCCAAGTCAGACCCCCACCCTGGTACCTGCATGCAGAAAGCCCGACTGCCCCACCCTGCCCGTCCCCAGGCTGCTACCTCCCTCATACCCGCGGACCAGCCAGGCCCCCGACTCCACACTGAGGCCACTGCCAAGCCTACTCCCACTCCCACCTCTAACCAGCCCCGCCCTGCCTACACAGTCAACCAGGCCGGGGTCAACACCCAAGGCCCTGTCTTGCTACTCAGCCTCACTCCACCCTGATTGATCCTGGGAAGCCCCCAGCCCTCCCAGAAAAGTTCCCAGGAGCCTCACACGAGGTCACACCTACGCGAGCCGCCCTTCAACCACACAAGTCACAGGGCAGCTTAACACCACCACCTACAACAAGCACCACAAGGTCACACGTGGCCCCCCAGTCTGACCCCCTGCCCAGGCCACTCCGTCGCCCGTCCTCCCTGCTACACCTGGACCAGTGGCTCCAAGATGGGCGTGGAGAGGCCTCCCACCCCCACCGAGGAGCCTCCTCCAAGCCCCGGCCTCCCCAGTCCAACCGCCTCCCAGTCACCCTCACCCCATGGACGAACAAACACACAAATGCACACGGCTAGAGTGTGGACTCTGTCTTCTCTCCCACTGAACCGCACCCAGAACAGGATGGTGGCCCCAACCCGGGCAGGAGGCTGAGGGGTCAGAGCCAGGGTCCAAGCCCACCCCATCATTCACCTGCCTGTGTGCAGGTCTCATACAGCCCTAGACCCCACCCTCCGGCCATGCTCATACACACACACACATGCACGCACACGTACAATCGCGCACACACGCACACCCCACATCCGTCTGAAAAGCAGCGCACACCTGGACCGCATTCTGAAGACACAAGGCCGGAAGCACCAGGCCCCTGCACTCGACGGGGGAGCCCCAGGACCATGCACGTGCCACACCCTCACTCCTCAGCGTGGAAGCCCACGTGCAGGGGAGAGTGGGGCCACGGCGGAAGGAGCCAGGGGAGAGCAGTGGCCACTGGATAGGGCCAGGGGCAGCTCGGGGCACCTCAGGCCTCAGCAAGGTCCACGCAAACCAGCCAGCTCCGCAGAGCATCCACGACGTAGATTCCCGGGGCTACCCCAGGTCCAGTGGACTCAGCTACACGGCTGAGCCACTCGGGACCCCAGGCAGGCTGGAAATCTGTGTACATTTCACAGAGGTCCTCAGGCTGGCAGGAGTAAAACTGCGTGGGGACGGGGCTCGGAGGCCAGGCCAGTGGCCACAGGCGATGCAGGGACAGGAGAGCTGCTGGGTGGCCTGGGCAAGGGCAGCGGGTGGGGACCGAGGGAAGGCAGGTCACTCCCACACCTTCAAACCCGCGGGGCTTCAGACCCCTGGGCCTCCAGGGGCAGCTCACAGTGGGCCGGACAAGGCGGGCTGCCACTCCAACCACCAGGAGGGCGGCTGAGGACAGGGCATCATTACTGTCTCCCCTCCTGGGGGGGGTGCCAGGCCGGCCGCCCCCTGCCAGCCCATGCAGAGGCTGGACCGGGGAGGGCTGACCGGCCCGTGCCTGCAGAGCTGGAGCTCCAGGAGCTGTGTGCAGATGCTGCTGAGAGCCAGGAGCTGGACGAGCTGTGGGCCAGCCTGCTCGTCTTCATCACCCTCTTCCTGCTCAGCGTCAGCTACAGCGCCGCCGCCACCCTGTTCAAGGTGGGAGCCTGGAGGCCCCTCGGCCAGGGCGGGGAAGGCCCGGGGGGAGGGGGCGCTCCCAGCATGAGCTGTCCTCACGCATGCCCTCCTTCCAGGTGCAGTGGGTCCTGGCCACCGTCCTGCGGGAGAAGCCACAGGCCATCGGAGACTACGCCAACATCGTGCGGCCGGCAGAGTAGGCCCAGAGACAGGGCAACGAGGCCATGCTTGCCCCTCCCGTGTCGGAAGCTGTCTGCTCACACGCAGTGGGAGGACCAGGGCACACAAACCCCCAGAGTGGCCAGTCAGACACACGACGTCCAGCACACAGACGTCCAGAGGCCTCCAGCTCAGCTCCAAGGTCCAAGGCACCAAGGGGACCTGCCGATCACAGCCCCGACCCCAGCCCACTTTGGCACAAGCCCGTCCCACAGAGTGACCGGAGCTGGGCATGGGTGCTGACCCCTGGGCTCCTCCCTGGTCCTGGGGTCAGGGCCACTCCTGTTCTCACGGAGCAGCCCCCAAAGCACAAGGAGGGTGAAGCCCATGGCCCACCCACCACTCAGAGTCCAAGTCCAGCAAGACCTCGGCTCCCACACTCAGTCCCACCTCCCTGGCACCGGGTCCAAGTGCCCTGCCCCTGTGCCCAGCCCCAGCTCCCGCCCACCCTTCTTGCCGGCCACTGGCAGCTCCGTCCCTGCAGAATGCCAGCACACAGAAGGGCTGCTGGGGAGAAGCCACGGGACGGCTCAGGGCTGTGGGCGGGACTCCTGGGGCTGGAGGAGGGGTGCCCCAGCAGAAGGAGCTTCCCGTGGGTCAGCACCTCCCAACCGCATCCGCCCTGGCCTCACCTCACCTCTTGCTCCTAGCTCAGCAACCCGCTTGCCTTCCTTTTGAGTTTCTTAGTAAAGTTCCTTTTTACAAATCCCATGCCACCTGAGCACACTTTGGAACAGCTGTCTACCTGTGGGAGTGGGAGGCAGGACCCCTAGGGTTGTGGTCAAGGGACGAGAGGGAAGGGAGCAGGGGCTAGTTCTGGGCCAGAAGGCCCAGGTGGCCAGCTAGCTGCTCCCTGCAAGAGTCCCTTTGACACCCCCAGAGACAGCCAGCTCAGTCCCTTCACGCCTGCTCTGCTGATCTCCAGCCAAGACTCACTGCCCCTTCCCATGCTCACATAAAAGCCACGGTCTCCTCCGGGCAAACCCAAAGTAGCTACTTCTGTGGTCAATGCAGGAGGCAATAGGAACCCAGCTGCACAACCACCAAGCTCAGGGCCACCATCAGCCTCCAGGGACCACCGGTCAGCCCCACATCTGTCCACCCACTGAGCGCGCACACACAGGCTAATCCTTGGCCCCCATCCCCCCAGCCAGCATGGAGGTGCCCATGAGCTGAGTGAGACATGCAAGCAAGCAAGAGCCGCCTGGGGCTGGCCACCGCCATCCTCAAGAAGAAATCTGATGAGCCTGGAACTCAGGAGCCAAGATGCTGGAGAGATGGCCAGCTGGCCAAGCATAGTGTTGGGCCTGAGGCTGTGCCCCTCTCACAATAAAGAGCTGGTCTCCCTGCCTGGAGACACCTTCCCACTAGGGTCTCTGCGAAGTCCACTGGAAACGGGGAGGCTATGTAAACACACCTGATGAAAGGCAGGCTCCCTCGTCTATGAAGAGTGCTCAGGAACAAAGACAAGCAAAGACGTGGGCAGTCCGTCACAGACAGGAAAATCCAAGTGGCTAATAATAGGAAGAAGAGATTCCAGGAGCTACAGAAGTTCCACTAAGGAGGAAGCCAGGGAGGGGCCGCCCTCTGGGCCTGTCTGAGGGCATGTGAACTGTTGGTACCATCACTCAGGGCCCGTGGCCTCATGCTCAGCACAAAAATCCCCAGAGTCCTCTGGATGGGAGATTCCACATGTGGAGATGGCCCTCCAGAGACAGCCACGTGCCTGGCACATGTCACACGGACTCAGACACGGACTCAGACACGGACTGGGACTCGGACCAGGGAGGGAAATGAGTGAGGCAGGCATGCGGCCTGAGGAGGGTCGGACCATGGCTGCTGGCCTCCTGCCCAGGACACAAGTCCCAGGACCCAGCCGCTGTGATCCTCATTCCCAGACCCGGAGGATTTTATCTAAATAGAACATCAGGGAAGGGGAGGTGGAGGCCGAAGACAGGAGGAGACCACGTCACAGCCCCGCCTGGCACACATGGACACACACGGTCCCAGGACCCCCACCCCACACTTATCAATCAAAGGAGATTTTCGGCTATGAGGCCATTCCTGAGCACCCAGCCAGGCTCTCCTCTAACTGCTACCAAGGTCACAGGGACATGACCAGACCTCAGAGCAGGGACTCCATCTCCACCCCAGCACACCATGCATGTCTTTCAGCTGTAGACAACCTGCAGGAAACTTGGCAAACATCCAGATAAGTCCCCATAATGTTGGAGCCATGCAGCCTCGCTCGGACTAAACCCAGGACATGATCTGGAGCTTTCCTGGAATGTCCTTGGTCAGGACGATCTTTACCTCTTGACGGGAGAAGCCCTGCCCTAAATGCTGCTTCCAGGGCCAGCGTGGGTCCCAGCAGCTGTGCTCACTGGGCCTCCAAGAAGACGCTTCCCTTTTTCCCTTAAAATTTTTATTTTTTTTATTTTTTTTTATGTTCAGTCAGCCACCATACAGTACATCATTGGTTTTTGACATTGTCTTCAGTGATGCACTACTTGCGTATAACACCCAGTGCTCATCACAGCACGTGCCCTCCTTCATGCCCGTCACCCTGTCATCCCCTCCCCCCACCCCCTCCCTTCTGCAACCCTCAGTTTGTTTCCTGGAGTCCAAAGTTTCTTATGGTTTGTCTCTCCCTCTGAGGGGTGCAGGCTCTTTGTGAAGAGCACTGGGTGTTGTATGCATGTGACAAGTCACTGAATGCTACTCCAGAAACCAATATTGCACTCACTGTGAACAGAATAAAATGTAAATAAAATAAAATAATTTTAAAGAGGGTGCAGGCAATATTGTTCAACGTAGTGTTAGAAGTCCTAGCATCAGGAAATAAGTCAAACAGAGAAAGACATGTATCATATGACCTCACTGATATGAGGAATTCTTAATCTCAGGAAACAAACTGAGGGTTGCTGGAGTG